TCTTTAGATAATCAAAGGGCAAGGATCGTATGTGTTTTTCGTAATGACACTCACTTGATTCACATTCCAGACCTTTCCTCCACTTTCCATTTGTGACTCACCTTTATTTTGGATAATTATGGTATGAGTTTTCTCGGACTGAATTCCTCAGGAGTCACTCACTGGCTAGCATTGGGCCTGAACCATGAGGCTTTCCGTGTGTGGGAGGCTAATTTCTTTTCATATAATTTTATTTTAGCTGAGTTTTAAAAACTGAAGCACTAGCTTTAATGTTTCTTAGCTGCTACTTAAGAAGCTCTGGTGGTGCAGTAGATGACGCATTTGGCTCCTAAGCAGAAGGTCAGCCATTCAAACCCACCAGCTGCTTGTAGAAGGAAGATGGGACAATGTACTTCCATAAAGATTTACAGCTTCAAAACACAATGGAGGTCACTATGAGTCCGAATCAACTCAATGACTGTGAGTTTGGTTTTTGGTTTTTTAACTGCTCCTTAATTTTAGGCCCTGTATCTTTTCTACAGTTTCAACTGAAATCATATTATTCTGAAAAATAGTCTGCAGAAACAAAAGGATTAACAAATACCCATAACAGCTACTATTTATTGAGCACTTACTCTGCGACAGTTATTGTGCTAATCATTTTCAAACATAATTCACATTATTATTTTCACCTTTTACAGCTAAGGAAACTAAGCTTTTTGAATACCATCCCTAAAAGTCACACTGCTGGAGAATGGCAAAGTTCCACTCTGCACCTCAATCTTTCTGGCCTCAAAGATGCTGCATGTAACTACTGAGGTAAACAATAGCAGGTCACAGTAATGCCCGCTCAGCCCCAAATACAGAGCACCTAGATTTTTACCTACACTACTTCCTCCAGTCCACACACTCTAGTTTTAACTTTTTTCAAATGTAAAAACTAACTGTCGTCATAGCGATCCCTCCTTGGGTTTCCAAGGCAGTGTATCTATGGAAGTGGATTGCCCAGTCTTCCTTCTGAGGAGTGGCTGGTGGATTTGGACCGCCAGCCTTCTGGTTAGTAGTCAAATGCATTAGGCACTACACCACCAGAGCTCCCATTTTCAACAGTAAGTGAAATAAAGAGCAATGTTTTGAAAATATTTGAATAAATGACAGTTCTCCTTTATCCAATAACTATTTGTTGATCTCCTCCTCTAAGGCAGGGGAATCCAATGATAGCTGTGGCTGACTCTTGAGAAGGTCTTCTCGGGGGAAGAGGCAAAACTGCATTATATGTCATCTCTGTTGTACCTGAGATATGCAAGGAATGCTGTGGAAGCACGCACAGTACAAAGTATTCAGTGACATTCAAGCTGGCTTTTAAAGGATTAGTAGGGGTTTTCCAGGACCTCCTGGGTGGCACAAATGGTTAGGCACTCTACTACTAACAGAAAGGCTGGTGGTTCAAACCTACCCGGAGGTACACTGGAAGAAAGGTCTGGTGATCTGCTTTGGAAACGTCACAGCCTGGAAAACCCTATGGAGCGTATTGCTACTCTGCGACACATAAGGTCATCATCATGAACTGGAACTGACTTGACTCGAACTGGTGTTGGGATCTTTTTTAGGGGTTTTCCAGGCAGAGAAGATTGAAAAATAGATAATCTATATGTAAACAAGTTGGAAACTAACCTTTTGGAATGTCAGGTTAATGATAATTTATCTTTAAAAGCATTCATCTCAAACCCTTACATGTACTTTAACAACTCGAATTAAGTCTGAGAGAAATATTTATGTGCAAAAAAAAAAAAAAAAAAACCACACCAAAAAACAAAAACAAGCAAAAAAACCCTTTATGCAGCAACTAGGCAAGATCTAAACACTCACTGCCATCGAGTTGATTGCAACTCAGAGCGAACCCCACTGGGTTTTGGAGGTGGATAACTTGGAAGACAGAACTGAGAAACTCCACAGGGATAAGTTATAGTCTATTTGGTTGGACCAAATTCACTAACCAGATCACCTGACCTTGGCAGCACCAAATGATGTGACTAATGACCAAATGGCTCCTTTGGCTTTTTTCCTTCAATCACAGAAATGCTGCAGCTCACGCCTGGTCAGCCACTCACCTGAAATTGTTTCCTGAAATGGGCTCTGAGGCATACTGCTCAGGAACGTCTAAGGGGTTCTCAGCCTTAATCACTTAATGGCCACTTCGCTGGTAGGAGAGGAAAATACCTGCAGCTAAAGGATTCATTCACGAAATAGATGCTGTGTGCCTACTGTGAGCTGGGCACCATTCTCAGTTCTGGAGGGGGACCCATCAAAGATCACAAGGCAGAGTCCCTGCCCTCATGAACTTTACTCTTCTGGGAGCAATGTATAAGCCAACACATGCTGTATCAGATGGTAATGAGTGCACTGGAGAACAGGAAGCCTGGGAAGGAGGACAAGCAGTGCAGGGAGAGTTATTATTTTATACTGAGTGGTCAGGGAAGGCAGCTCTGAAAAGGCACCATGTGAGCAGAGGCTGGAATGTTGTGAGGGATACCTGGTTAGGAGGAGGGTGTTCCAGGGAGAGGAAATGCAAGTATAAATGCCCTCAGGCGGGAGCAGTTTTGCTTGTTCAAAGGAAAGCGGAAGAGTCACTAGGGCCAGAGTGCAGGGAATAAGGATGAGAAATGAGGGGGAAATGAGGTGAAGTTAAAGAGGAGGAGGAGTGCAGGTCTTGTCAAGGTTTAGGCATTTACTGAGAGATGGGAAGCCCTAGAGGAGTTTGAGCAGAAGAGCGATATGCTCTGACTCAGGCTTTTCAAGAGCTTCTCTGCCTCGCTGTGTAAGGGGCCTGAAGGGGGACCAGTCAGGAGGCAGTGCAGTCACCAGGTAAGAGGTGATGGTGGGGGCACTGGAGGTGGTGGAAAATGGTCAGGTGTTTCAGTCCTTCTGACAAGATTTTAGTGAAGATGACGCCAAGGTCTTCAGCTTGAGCAATTAGGCAGAGTTGATGTTTATCGAAATAGGGAAGACTGGGAAGGAAGTTGCTGGAGGGGAAAACAGGGAGGACCCTGGGGGATAGAGTTTGGTTTCAGACATACTTGGTTAGAGACGCTGTTAGACTTCCGAATGGAGATGCTGAGTAGGCAGCTGAATATACAAGTTAGGAAAAAAAGGAGCTGGAATCTGATGAACACTAAGATTACTCAAAGGTGAAAAAAAAATTATATCATCTTGTTTTAGTATCATTTGTAAAGGTCAATGATGATAGTAAAAATATGTGGCAACAAGTAATAAGTGGCTAAAGCTAGTTCAGTGGTTCTTAAAAGTGTGGTCCTCAGATTAGCAGTAACAGCATTGCCAGTGAGCGTGTGAGAAATGCAAACTGGGCCTGATCTCCCTGGTAAAGCAGCATCTCTGGGGATGGGGGCCAGGAAACCATTCTGACTAGTTCTCCAGGAGATCTTATGTTAAAGACTGAGTAAAGTAGAAGGCAGGAGTTTAGTATTTCCAGGTTTCAATAATTTAAAAAATAAAAGGAACAACTTTTTTGAAGGTAAAAAAAAGTCTTTATTGTTTGAAGCACAGGAAAGAGTGAAAAATCGTTAAGACATTTCATTTCTTAGTCTTTTCTAAGAGGTAATAAAAATACAATGTGACTTAGTCTTTGTAAGCTCTTGAATACGTCTAAAAGTTCACACTTTGTATGATATAAAAAGGCATAACACACAATAATGATTAAAGAAAGCCACCTCACAGATACAATTGAAATTGCTGTGAGAAAGTTTTTAAACACAGACTCACAACATAAATAACACTTTACTTTTCCTTCTTTTTCAAAAACACAGATAGCATTTTCCACTAGTCACCTATGCATACCATAAATGTGGATTGGTGTGTATCACTTTCTTGTTCTATTTTGTTCTCAGACAGGCTAACAGAAAAGGAGGCTAAAATTAATTTGTCTGTTTTTCTTCACTTTGATCTCTCATTTTGTTTAAGATTTAAAAAAAAAAAAAAAAAGCAAACCAAGATTCAAGATCTTTTAGGATGCCTATCTCAAATCAAAATTCATTAAAAAAAAAAAAAAGGGAAGATAATGATGCAAATGACATTTTTTTAAAAGTGCTTATTACTTAGCTGCCAAAATTACCCTAAGCAGTAACATTTCTTAAGCATGTATACATACAAGTGCATATATTTAAAAGTATCACTGTTGCAGGTGTCATTCTGGCTTTTGAGCATACTGAAATCACACTACCATAATCTCTGTGAGCCATGATCACAGGTTTGGATACAATCCAAATTATTCAGTGCATTGACCTGTGAAAGAAAAGATACAGGTGCTTCCTGTGTTTCTAATTCTCATTTTCCTCCAGGTTGGCCAAAGGATAAACAATGTGCATCATAAATTAAGTAAAACCCACTGCCTATGTGACATATGTGCTGTTTCTAATTAAAACAAGTATATATTCTTGCTTTGGAAATTCTGTGGGTTTGAAATTTTTATTGGATCATCTTTTCAAGGCATTAATAAGAAATATATATAAAATTTACAATTGAAATACAATGAATCTGATCATTTTATGCATATAGGATGCTGTTTCAGAGGTAAATGAATTCTTTTACTCAAGGGGTGTTGTTCACTAAAGAAATACATTAATTGCTTTAAGGAACTGCTGAACATGGTCAATCTGAAATTATTTAACAGTGAAAATCCAGAAACTTCTGTTAGTTTCCTGGCAAGATGTGGACTCAACATGAAAACTGACATTTTCAATAATGGGGGGAAACTAAGTCACTTGAATGTTTATCACTTTATTACTACAATTATAAATGGTAATATTTAAAATTAGTTCCTGACATTGATTTGTGTGTTTAAATTAGGCCTCAAATACACCTTTTTGCCTTTTGCTTTGTTGCTCACACTTTTAAAAAATGCATGATAATTAGTGCACAATCACGTTGCTCTGAAGCATCCTGTATTAGTTTCCTGAATATACGGACCCGGGGCCATTATCATGCCTCTGCTCATACTTTTCTATTCAACTTCTCTGCTGGGAGACTGTGAAAAGCTTTTGCTGATTTTCAAGGCAGTCTTTCAGCTTATCCTCGGTCAAAGTCAGTCGCTGCTCCAAGATTGAAACAGTCTGTAAAAAGGAGGACAAGATTGTCAATACTGGGTCATGCTGATGATGTATCTCTGCATAGGAGATCCTTCCTAGAACTGAACACCCACCCTTTGGCAAGTGGTTGGCTCAGAAGTGAGCCCTAAAATGTGCTATTCTTCTGTGCCCTACCACAGGGCAAAGCACTGTCAAGCAATTTGAGGAAACGAAAAAAATGAATGCATATGAAGAGAAAGACCTCTGCAGATAATTCTGTCCGTGAGCAGCTGAGTTTTTAACCACTACGCTACCAGGGGTCCTACTGCAGATTGTTTTTATTATCCAGTCTTCTCAATCAACAATGCCAGGGAAAAGAGAGCATGTAGCATACTCAGTGGAGCCATGAGCTGCATAGTGGC